TGAAACTGCCCGGCGCTGACTACAGGAAGCCCGAGGCAGAGTTGCTCTGCCCCGGGCTTCCTGGAATCAGTCACTGATCAGTTTCAGCAGCAGCTGACTTGAGGACGCTTGGGGTTCTTAAGTTGAATCTGTATGTAAGTCAGAACTGGCAGTCAGTTTCAGCAGCGGCTGAATCTGGACACCAGTTCCGACTTACATACAGATTCAACTTAAGAACAAACCTACAGTCCCTATCTTGTACGTAACCCGGGGACTGCCTGTATATGCAGGGAACTGTACATACTGGCTCCCTCGCCTGACCCTTCCCCCTCACTGCCTCCCCTGACACAGAGGCAGCAACACAGGGGAGGGGGGACCCTGTGTGTACCTGTGAAGTTACACGATGAAAGTTACACGAACGGTGTAATGGTGAAGATTAACTGTTTACACTACCACATCACTAGTACATGAAATGCAGATATAGGACTAGTGAAATGTAGATGCCCAGCCTACTTTGCAGAGTGGATTAAAACAAAATTTAAAAAAAAACAATGTTTCCTTCAACTCCCCTCTGAAGTGCATTTAAATAATAATAATAATCAGGGCTCGCCAGCCGCACAGAACCACACACTGCGCAGGCACAGAACGTACTGCGCATGCGCTGACCGCGCTGGGCTAAAATCTACTCACCATAGGCGAGTAGATTACATTAATTGTCGAGCCCTGATAATAATAATAATAATTTTCTTTTTAAAAATAACCCTATGTAAAGTGAAATCTGAATACAGCTGTGTTAAGGCCTGAACTTCTTATAATCTCTTAACATTTTAATAAAAAAATATGCTGAATCCATAAGCCTCTAACAAAAAATTCAAGGCTGCTTTTCTCCTTAACGAAAGACCCACAAGGAAATATTTTGAGGTCAAGCTTTATGGCAAAACAGGTTAGTCTAAATAACTTGGAAGACTTATTTTCAAACACCACAGATGAGCAGGAACTTTAGTTCCAATCACTTTTAACAAAGGCATATTTGAATATTCTCGCGTTGATCTGAAATGATCAACCTGAGAATAAATGTCAATTTATTTCACTAACAGACAATCCCTGTTTTAGAAATCATTTAGTTGTAAAAGTGTGAAACATATTTTGATAAGAGTTTTGCATCCAAAACACTTAAAGTTGTCTTGCTTAATAAATGTTATATGCCATTTTGTGTTTAATTAAGTTTCAGTTACTGTCCTAATTCAGCTTGACATGAATTATGAGCAAAATCATATCCATTTTGAAGAGTTTGTTTGTTGATTTGTTTGTACAAAATGAAGTCATACTTCACAATTACCTACAGATATCACATTTTGCATAAACAATTCTGCCACAAACTGAATGCACTACTTTTTACATCGGAATATGCTGGAGGAAAGGTTTAAATTATTATTCTCATTTTTTATTGAAAAGACATGACTCTTATAATTAGCGTTCATAAAAAATATTTGCCAACAAAATTAAAATCGAGTCACGTATTCAACTGTCATTTTAGTGCAAAGAAAATTTTTACTGTTATAAATCACAAAATAATTCAAATTAGTTACGGAAAGAGTTATGGAAGCTTCACGAGTTTGATTCAAACTGTTCTTTTACTTCCCTTTTGCAAGAACACTAATAAAAAATACTATTACATATATTTAGCTTCTTGAACTTTCCTATTATTGTAATCTATGCAAAATGACTTTGCCCAGTCATTGACATGCCTCTCACCTGCTAGTTGTAAATACATAATGTATTATTCACCATTTTTAACATACTATATATACACCAATCAATAGAAATCTGAAAATATTAGGCTATATAAATCACACAAATATATATAGTTACACTATACCTTTCTAGGTAGCAAAAAGATGTATCAAATCCAGCATAAACTAACTGAAAATGTCTGCAAAAGCATTTCTAGTAAAAAGTCCCGTTTCTCCCCCCCACCCGGTGAAAACTGTCACAATTTTTTAAATAGAAAATATTAAGTGCTCAAAAAAATGACTTTATGAAGGACATTATTCAAATGTGAAGCCAACCAAAGCAATCCAAAAGGTAATTAAGCCAGCATGGCCCAAGGGATAAAGTGCCCCAGTCAACTAATTACCCCACTTTTTTCAATCTCTTTTATTGAAGTTTCATGAACACCAGGATTTTTGACAAGGCGAAGAGATACTTGACTGAACAATCTAAAAAAAAAAATCAGGATTTTCATCTAAGTCAGAAGCTCTGGGTCAGACTTAGGTGTTCATCAAAGCAGCAACTGTTATGCTGAAGACTTGTTCTTTAACAAAATTACCCTTCTTCTGTAAAAGATCTTGATTCAACAAATTCTCCTAGATTAGCTAACTCAGAGGTTCCCAAACTTTTTAGCCTCACGCCCCATTTTTGATTTTTGAGAGACCCTCACGCCCACCCCACCCACAAAAAAAGCAGCAAAACAAGGGGTGGGATTGATGGGGATGTGTGGCTGGGTCACCTTGCACCCCCTCCTGGAATTTCTTCACGGCCCCTCTGTTTGGGAACCCATGAGCTAACTTCACATACACAACCTTAGCCCTTAATTTCACATAGAAAATTAATGAGGTATGTGATAAAGGTGGCGTTCTACTCTTAAATCATATCAGGCAGCTTCTATGTATTACAAAGAATGAGAACAGAAACCGTAAATCATTCCTTCAGCTAGCTATGGGACATAAGTGTTCAACTATAGTCAAAGTTAATTTATTTCACCTGGTTAATTAGCTAATTTATATCATGCAAGAGAAAAAAACCTAAATTACCACTATACACAAGTAATACAGTTTGTATTTAAGACCGAACAGTTCAAAAGTTATGGGACTCAAATGAGGAGCCAAGTTTTAACTGATGCCAGATTTTCCTAAAACTCCCCCAAAATTTCAAGTTGAATTCAGAGATTATGTGCTGAACTTTTGGTCATTATACTGTTTTTCATATATATGTGGCTCAACTCCTGGTTTAGGCATGAAACAAAACAATCTTAATTATGGCACTTCTACGGACACATATTTAACAGTACTATTGAATAAAGTCTATTTTCACCAGAATACACTAACAATTGTGAACCCAAAAAAGCAAAAAACACTAACACACAAAACATATCCTTGTAGCTATCTTTTCAACCATCCATATAGCTGAATCCACATCTCAGTTATTGTTAAATTTGAATTCATATTTAAAAAACAAGCATTAACAGTCTGCTAAAATTTGTTCAAGTTGTGATTTTTACCAGTTGATCTTGATTAAGGCGCTCTCCTTTGTTCATTCGATCCTGGTAATCATCAAGTTTGCCCTAGTGGAGAAAAAAAAGTTTTTATGATTTGTGTACTACAAGTCCAAGAGTGAAGCTCAATAAAAGTGAGATCAAGTTATATTACTGATAGCGTCTACATATTTTGTTAGTCTTTAAAGTGCTACTAGACTATTTGTTTAAGTTTTTCCTGTTAAAGACTAACTCGGCTACCCCTCTGAAGCTTTTGTTTCTCCAGTATTAGCCACAACAGCTATTCTGTCTGAAATTATACTGTAACATGAGGTGAGAACTGACATGATTAGAAACTTTAAATGCAAATATCTGAACTCATTTTATATTTTAAAATATGCTGTTACAAGGAGGAAATATTTTAATCTCACTTATTCTGTTACAGGCAGTCCCCGGGTTACGTACAAGATAGGGACTGTAGGTTTGTTCTTAAGTTGAATCTGTATGTAAGTCGGAACTGGCGTCCAGATTCAGCCGCTGCTGAAACTGACCGCCAGTTCTGACTCACATACAGATTCAACTTAAGAACCCCAAGCTTCCCCAAGTCAGCTACTGCTGAAACTGATCAGCTGCTGATTCCAGGAAGCCCGGGGCAGAGCAACTCTGCCTCGGGCTTCCTGTAGTCAGCGCT